ATTTGGGTCTAGAAGAGGGACAGTTGAGGAGGAGAGAGGGACGGAGGGATTTTGGTCTAGAAGAGGGACAGTTGTGGAGGAGAGAGGGATGGAGGGAGTTGGGTCTAGAAGAGGGACAGTGGTGGAGGATGGAAGGACGGAGGGATGTTGGTCCAGCACAGGGAGAAGCTGGGTGCTGGGCACGTGTCATCATTGCCGTCCTCTTCAGTCAGCTCCCGTTCCTATAATCACACGGTTATTGCTTAGCTGGATCTTTCTTTGTTTGCGGTGAGCCGCTGTTTGTTTCCCCCTCCGGACGGCGGCCTTTGTCCTCGCGCAGAGATAATACTGGAAGGTCGGGGCGTTTGGGTGGATCAGCATGACACGCAGAGTTCAGAGATGAGGAAACCTGAACAGGAAAGTCTGACCGCAGCGAACGGGGCTGGAAATCTGTCCCCCAAACACACCCCCCCAAAAACCCCAACATCTGAGGGTAACATTGTCCCCAGCTATCTCTAAGGACTACGGAACCCCTCCCTGCAATGTTATGCCAACCATTCTGTAGTCCTGTCCTGTTTCTGTTGTTTGAATAAGCGTTGTCACCCTAGCACAGGAAGTGTGTCACCAGGAGATGAAGCCTGAAAAAGAAAACGAATGCGGCTGCCACATCTGAAGACTGGGAAGCTGCGATAGGCGACGGTTCTGTTTTTGGATTTTTTGCCCATTATGAGGAGCTCCCCCCATCCCTGTGCTGAGTTCCCGGGTCTGTACACCCGCTGTGCCCATTATGCGGGGCTCCCCCCCCCATCCCTGTGCTGAGCTCCCGGGTCTGTACACCCGCTGTGCCCATTATGCGGGGCCCCCACCATCCCTGTGCTGAGTTCCCGGGTCTGTACACCTGCTGTGCCCATTATGAGGGGCCCCCACCATCCCTGTGCTGAGTTCCCGGGTCTGTACACCCGCTGTGCCCATTATGAGGGGTTCCGGCCATTCCTGGAGGACTTTTTATTATTTGATATTATGTACAATGTAAGAGGAGGAGTCGGAACACAAAGTGGGCGGGATCAGTCCCAGCTATCTCTAAGGACTACGGAACCCCTCCCTGCAATGTTATGCCAACCATTCTGTAGTCCTGTCCTGTTTCTGTTGTTTGAATAAGCGTTGTCACCCTAGCACAGGAAGTGTGTCACCAGGAGATGAAGCCTGAAAAAGAAAACGAATGCGGCTGCCACATCTGAAGACTGGGAAGCTGCGATAGGCGACGGTTCTGTTTTTGGATTTTTTGCCCATTATGAGGAGCTCCCCCCATCCCTGTGCTGAGTTCCCGGGTCTGTACACCCGCTGTGCCCATTATGAAGAGCTCCCACCATCCCTGTGCTGAGTTCCCGGGTCTGTACACCCGCTGTGCCCATTATGAGGGGCTCCCACCATCCCTGTGCTGAGTTCCCGGGTCTGTACACCCGCTGTGCCCATTATGAGGGGCCCCCACCATCCCTGTGCTGAGTTCCCGGGTCTGTACACCTGCTGTGCCCATTATGAGGGGCCCCCACCATCCCTGTGCTGAGTTCCCGGGTCTGTACACCCGCTGTGCCCATTATGAGGGGTTCCGGCCATTCCTGGAGGACTTTTTATTATTTGATATTATGTACAATGTAAGAGGAGGAGTCGGAACACAAAGTGGGCGGGATCAGACATCACCCTTCACCAATATCTCAATGTTACTTGTAGATGCTACAAAGTCAGTAATGAATCCTGCGTCTCGGATCCGTTGGGTTGGGTCGGCGGTTCCGGTTCTGTCATTATTTGATGTGATGATGAAACTGTATAACTGATTTCTCCTGCTCGGTGGTCTCTATGGATCCGCGGCGAATCTGTCGGATCTCATTGATGGCGTCCACACCGGTGATCTTCCTCGTCTTCACCAGATAGCACGCCAACATGGTGCCGGTCCGTCCGAAGCCATGCATGCAATGCACTCCAACCGCCTGCAACCAATACAACATCAGAGAGTTACAGAGGAAGGAGCAGAGTCCTCCAGCAGAGCAGAGTATATCAGGAGAGGAGAGGGATAGAGGAAGGAGCAGAGGCCTCCGGCAGAGCAGAGTGTATCAGGAGAGGAGAGGGATAGAGGAAGGAGCAGAGGCCTCCGGCAGAGCAGAGTGTATCAGGAGAGGAGAGGGATAGAGGAAGGAGCAGAGGCCTCCGGCAGAGCAGAGTGTATCAGGAGAGGAGAGGGATAGAGGAAGGAGCAGAGGCCTCCGGCAGAGCAGAGTGTATCAGGAGAGGAGAGGGATAGAGGAAGGAGCAGAGGCCTCCGGCAGAGCAGAGTGTATCAGGAGAGGAGAGGGATAGAGGAAGGAGCAGAGGCCTCCGGCAGAGCAGAGTGTATCAGGAGAGGAGAGGGATAGAGGAAGGAGCAGAGGCCTCCGGCAGAGCAGAGTGTATCAGGAGAGGAGAGGGATAGAGGAAGGAGCAGAGGCCTCCGGCAGAGCAGAGTGTATCAGGAGAGGAGAGGGATAGAGGAAGGAGCAGAGGCCTCCGGCAGAGCAGAGTGTATCAGGAGAGGAGAGGGATAGAGGAAGGAGCAGAGGCCTCCGGCAGAGCAGAGTGTATCAGGAGAGGAGAGGGATAGAGGAAGGAGCAGAGGCCTCCGGCAGAGCAGAGTGTATCAGGAGAGGAGAGGGATAGAGGAAGGAGCAGAGGCCTCCGGCAGAGCAGAGTGTATCAGGAGAGGAGAGGGATAGAGGAAGGAGCAGAGGCCTCCGGCAGAGCAGAGTGTATCAGGAGAGGAGAGGGATAGAGGAAGGAGCAGAGGCCTCCGGCAGAGCAGAGTGTATCAGGAGAGGAGAGGGATAGAGGAAGGAGCAGAGGCCTCCGGCAGAGCAGAGTGTATCAGGAGAGGAGAGGGATAGAGGAAGGAGCAGAGGCCTCCGGCAGAGCAGAGTGTATCAGGAGAGGAGAGGGATAGAGGAAGGAGCAGAGGCCTCCGGCAGAGCAGAGTGTATCAGGAGAGGAGAGGGATAGAGGAAGGAGCAGAGGCCTCCGGCAGAGCAGAGTGTATCAGGAGAGGAGAGGGATAGAGGAAGGAGCAGAGCGCTCCAGCAGAGCAGAGTATTTCCGGAGAGGAGAGTTACAGAGGAAGGAGCAGAGTCGTCCAGCAAAACAGAGTATATCAGGAGAGGAGAGTCATAGAGGAAGGAGCAGAGTCCTCCAGCAGAGCAGAGTATATCAGGAGAGTTATAGAGGAAGGAGCAGAGTCCTCCAGCAGAGCAGAGTATATCAGGAGAGTCATAGAGGAAGGAGCAGAGTCCTCCAGCAGAGCAGAGTATATCAGGAGAGGAGAGT